ATATTTTAAAATGCATCACATATATACAATTGTAACTGTAACTTAGGAGAGCTTACTTACGCAACTAACTTTACAACTATAAAGTAATCCTAAGTTGTATTCAATATGAAACAATATGCTAGACAAATGAAGACGAAAAATTAGTGAGTTCAATTGTTTGTTGCCCTTTGTTTCATGGAGTAAGTGATTGGAAAATCTGAGAGTCGAAGACATTCAATCCATCGTGGTTTAAGACAATACTTACTTACGCCTGTTACTCCAAATGGAGCATAAGCCGCTGACCAGCATTCTCCAACTCACTCTGTCCTGGACCTTCATTTAGAAGTTTAAGACAATACAGTAATGAAATACACTAGTGACTTAGTATGAGAATGAAATCATTATTTTCGAAACTAATAGTTGTGAGTTCGATAACATTAAGTTGACATTCGACTTCATTTACAACTAATATCGATGATAAATATGTCGTTTTGTCTTTACTAATTCAACCGATTCTAAGGTTAGGAGAGAACTAGGTAAAGATGGGAAATAACGAATCTTCATCGACTGAAATATTCATTAGCTTCATCGCAAATGACTGATTACTGTCCACATCGATGTGAAGATTTCGCAGCTGCAGAAACGGGTTTGAAGACGAAGCAGCAACTCATGATATCGGCATGACTGTCGTGATCAACCACTGATGACGTTGAGTGAAATGACTTAAAATAGGCCTTAATGACGAAGACAGAATCACTTTTCTCCCTTAGATAGTAAACCTTAAAATTGCCTTATCACAGTGCATGTGCCCTATATTTTCTGTGAAGCTCTGGAAGAAGTGAAAACCTTCACGTACCTGGGCAGGATCATTGATAAAAAAGAATCTGATGCAGATGTAAAGGCACGGACTAGCAAAGGAAGGGTAGCATCCCCACAATTGATGAACATTTGCAACTCAGAACAACTGTCAGTTATCAAAGTCAAGATTTTCAAAACGAACTTCAAAACAATTCTATTGAACGAAGCTAAAATTTCGATAAGTACTTGAACCATGATCAGAAAAGGACATGCATTTATAAACAACTGCTTATGCAAAATAATCAATGTCTATTGGTTGGATACCATCAGTAATAGTAGTAGCAGAGAATAATCTAGCTTGAAGCTGATAAGTAAATTAGGAAAGGGCTCTGGAGAAGGATAGGACACACATTGCTAACATCATCAAACTGTGTCACAAGACAAATTCTGAAGGCGAAAAGGAGGAAGGTCAAAGGACATATTTGGAAATTGCAGTTATACATCTAAAGAATGAAGAGCAATCGGAAACTGGAAAGGAGCCCAGAAATGAGTTGGTTAGAGAATCCTGGTTCGCAGCCTATGCTCCGACGAGGCGCAACAGGCGCATATACACGTCGAATCATTTCTACACTCACTGATATTATAACTACTTCTATTCCAGCATTTGTCTGGATAATTCGATCTGATTACGATATAAGTTGATGTACATACGTGCCATGTTGCTCTAAATTGCGAATAACTAATTGTATGTTATTACAGCTTTTGGTATAAAATCTTTCTCAATGCATACTATTTATTTGAACACATAAATATTGGGCACCAAATAAATAAGCGCCACACAAGTCACTCCTTAATGAATGGGGTGATGACACTGCCCGGGTGCCCAAACCGAAGCAGGTCGTTTTCTTAAAGAGCCTCCGACCTAAAGGTCTGACCCATAAGGCAGTGGAACAACGTCAGGAGATGCATTCTCATGGTAGCCGGTGACCAATGATTGTTTCATATGCCATTTGTTCCTTCAGGATACTGGAGCCCATGCGCACCCCTGTTTTGGAATCAGGGTTTTCCAACTACCCTAAGTGTATCTTCCATATTCACCAACCCGGTTAAAGCACCGGATATTCGCTTTTCGTTCTCTCAATTTCGTAAACACCCCCGCCGTGAGAAGGCAGTGAGCAGTACTTCCGTGGCAGTTTTTCTATACGCACGGCATTTCGTGGAGAGCGGATCCACTCCACCCTCGACCGTACCAGAGCACTGGGGGGGAGGGCACTGAATCGACTAAACATTATTTCTCATAAAAAATTCAGTGAGGTACACACACGTTCCTTACTAATAACAAGATGACCAACTAATCTGAATTCTAGTATTTTAATGTGAAAAAAACAAAAGTCAATAAAAAGGGTAACAAATAGAATCTATGCATTTGTATATGAATATTTATGTATCGAGTATTAGTAATATTTTTTTCAATGAATAATGTTAGTGAATAAAATGAAAATACAAACGCGTACACACACACACACATCGTCGTACATTGAGGGAGGGTTTAAGGAACTCAGAAGAGGAGGAGTAGGTGTAGGAGGAGGAAAAACGTGAAAAGCATGTCATAATTAGAAATGCAAGATGAATAAACATACAGATTTAATTATAGTACACCATAAATATGTATGTAAATATAAATTACATACATATATCACTACGGTACAGTAAAATAACGAGAGAGGAAGAAAAACACAGCAACAATTTAGATGAGGACTTATTATTATTCCAAGAAAAAGAAAATTCTCTAAAAAAAAAACGCAACAACAACAACAACAGATAAACTGTCATATCATTTTAATTTATATCCAGTGATAAATGTAAACGCACACACATACACATACAATCAATCAATCTAAGAAGGCAAACGATTAAAAAACAGAAAGATATGGGGTAAATTTAACAAATGCCTAAACAGAATCAATCATTATCAATGACCCATCTCTGTAAATTACGTGTAATAGACTGTTGTTTGGTTTTCTTAGAAAAAAAGTGTTTTACATGTAGTAGTACATACACACCTATTTATCTATAGGTATGGAAACCAAATGTTTGTTTCCCAATACTACACAAACAACCCCCTCCCCATTCGCTGAAAATGATACATTGTATATGATGGATTTAAGATTATTTTAAGTAATGAATATTCATATAAGTAGTACAAGTAAAAGACACTAATGTCATGTTGTATTAGATAAAATATGAAAAAACAAAGGCACAATTACTTTTTTTTCTCCTCTAATTACTCATATAAAAATACAGAAATGGGGATAGTTCACATGCACACAAACAATTTATTCAATACATCTAATATATATATATATACACACATATATGTAAATGTAAGAGTATCGATGTAACAATATTGAGTGATATCAATGATTTGTAAATAGATCCTGACCAATATATCATTGATAACATCAACAGTATTGTATAATGAACAATAATACAAACGAAAAAGGCGACAATTAACAAATATAAACTGACTGATAGATTACCACAGATTTATTTAAGAGGAGAAGATAGGAAATCGTATACACGAATTTTGTGTGCCAGCCAGTGTGTGTGTGTGTGTATGTATGTATGGTTTAATGTATAAACAAAAGTGAGAATATAAGAAATGCCTTTTTTTTTCTTTTTCAAGTGACAAAAAAAAGTTGGGGGTGGGGAACGAAAATTTGCAACCATATAAAGATATCAATCAGATGAAACATACCTTTACAACACATGGTCATAGAAACACAATTTTACTAAAGATCCAATTAACTAGTTCATAGAAATCATGAAAAATACAAAGTTTGTAGACTAAATAGAGCAATTAGCTAATGAAGAACCGGACAAGAGAATGAAACAAATAAACATACAAACAAAATAGTTATATAATATAAAATTTTAATGTAAAACATAAACATCATGGAATATTCATCTTTTCATTATTATTGAATATTCAATGAAATAAGTAGTCAGAAAATTATAATATAACCTCATAAATTGTTGCATAATGTCGGTAAACAAAATCATGATTATTGTGCATATTTTTTTCTAATACCATACCCAAACATTATTATTATTATGATTATTATTAGCTACCTTATAATAGATGGGTTCATAAACATAATGATAATATACGAAGGGGAACGAGAGAGAGGGGGAGATAAGATCGGACTACAATCACATTATTATTATTATTATTACCAACATTATCCGAACAAAGAAGACAAAATACACAACTAACAAACAAACACACACACACAGAACATCAATATTCATGTGATTAAAAATAGAATAACAAATTGATAAGTAAACAAAACAAAACAACAAAAAAATAATAAAACTAAATTGACAAAGGGAAAACAATCACACGAATAAAACAAAAAAAATTACCGTAATTTATGTGTAAACGATCATTATTCTTTAAATAATATGTATGCGTTAGAGAGAGAGAAAGGGAGAAAAGTACACAGAGTCGAAAGATCAACTTAAAAGAACAAATAAGATGACAAGGAAAATATTGGTTTGTTGTTGTTGTTGTTCATGAACAGGTATAAGATGGCCGTAGGAAGAGTGGAATTTAGGTAGGGGTGGTGGTGGTGGTAGGGAAGTTGGGCGCATTATTATAAATAACTATGTTTATTATCTATATTTTATTGATACAATGCATTGTTATCACTGAATGAGTTAAGAGTATAAGAGATAGATAGATAGATAGACAACATATGTATATAAATAGATCAGGTGGAAATTTATTTCATCAATTGTTCTTTCTTTCTTTTTTCTTTTTGTTCTGTGAGGCACTGACTGAATAATAACTGATATACATAAATGTAAACATTATCGTGTTATTAATAAATATTGATGATGATCATGATGTAACAAAAAAGAAATAAAGGAAAAACAACCAAAAAGAAAAGTCACAAGCAATACCAAATGCTTTGTCTTTTTTTTTTTCTATGAATAATACCATAAATAATAATGCTAATCATCATAATAATACGTAACAAATTAAACACCCATTAACACAGAAAGTGTATACAAACACACACATACAGAAACATGTAAAGTGAATGATATATGTGAATATTTGTCAGTGGATTTAATCGGCAGTGAGAGAATAGGGACCGGTCCTAGGGCTAATATCTTGATCACAAAAAGCATTAGAATCTGGATTGTTAATATCAATATTAACCATCGGAACTATGATTATTGACAGTTGTAACAACAGTATTAACAGGGGTAGTAGCAGTAGTAGTAAGAGGAAGAGAAGAACTGGCAGAAGAATTATTAATAGTTGTGGCATTTATTCCAATTAATAAATGATTTGATTCACTACTTGGTATATTATGATTATTATTATGGTTGGTGTTAAAATCACATCTCATCATATTGGATGATGATAATTGTGAAATGGAATGAATAGTAGCCGATGAAGTTGACTGAGATCCATCAGCATTTAAACCTTTCAAACGAGAAGCTAGTGACTAAAGGTATGAAGAAAAATATAAATAGATACAATAAATACAGAGAATATAAGAACATAAAGCTACACATACATCGCGTTTAAGTAAAATTTGACCATGCCTAACAATTGAGTTTAAGACGCGTGTTTCGTCCTGTTTGAAACTTATCAGCAAGACATACCTGCATTCCAGTCTTGATAGTCGCACTGAGACAACTCAAGACTATATCGAGTTTCACACTAAAACTTGTAACTACAGGTAACCATCGAAGCAATCTACTAAGGATATATGCGGTACTTACATATGCCTGCTACCCTTCATGGAGGAGCATCAGTCGCTAACAAGAATTTTTTCATTTAACTTTGTTCAGGGCAATCCTTTCCTGTTATTATTCATCCTTTTCATGACTGCCTCCTATTCCCGACGCAATGTGTTTTTTGGTCTTCCTCTTTTCCACTTTCTTTCAGGATTCCAAGTTAGGGATTGCCTTGTGATGAAATTTAGTGATTTCTTTAATATATATCCTATCCACTTCCACCGTCTTTTCCTAATTTCTTGTTCAGATGGAAGTTCGTTTGTTCTCTCCCACAGTATGCTGTTGCTGATTTTATCCGGCCAACGGACATTGAGTTTCTTACGTAGACAAATTTTTATAAATACTTGTACCGTTTTGATGATGGTTGCAGTAGTTCTCCACGTGTAAACATCATATATTTGAATAAGGTTAAACGAATAGTTGACATATATTTTATAAGCTAGAACTACTTTATTTTCCAAAGAACTGCCATTAACACGATAATGTTTACTATTTTCCATAAACAAATTCCCATCGACCCCCCATATCTCATAAAGAAAAAACGATCATTCAAAGAAGAATGTACTAAGAGTTAACGGTAGATCCATAAAACAATGTTTGATGATTGAATTTTATTGTTCTTTATTGTATACAAAAAAATGTAGCCCGTCAAGAAGAGTTCATGTTAGTTTTAACTGATAAGAATAATTGTGATAACATGTACAGGACTATCTCTTTTCAATCACAAATTGAATATCAAACTTTTCGACAGTACTCTCTTTTTCATGGGTTTCATCTCGTTAGGAGGATAGTTGTTGGAACGTTGTATATGTTAGTAACTGTACAGTTGAGTTCGTAGTAGAATATTAGTATCTCGCAAACACAATCATAAACATGACACAAATCTTATCATAGAAAGGAAAATACATCACAATGACAAACAGTGGAACTAAAGCATCCTGAAAGCCTTGAAAATAACAAAATGAAGATAGAAATTGTTGAGTAGATCCGCGATTTTCAAAACGGAATTATGGATGACCGGCTATCGGTTATCATTTTTCTTGATGAAATTTTACCTTATGGCTAAATTTGGTAGTAATATAGTTGTAGATTGCCTACAGAATAATGGATCATCGAGTAAGAGCATATTATATAGGTGCCATCAATAAATGATATACTGAATAGCCACGGAGTTCGGAGATGTGATTATTTGATAATTATTAAGGTTAGGAGTATTAATTTAAAGGTAGTGTGACATTTACAATGATATAATCATTTCTAATCTTTATATCATTTGTAACTTAATACTTTTACGCAATATCTATTTCATTTGCAGAAGTTGTATTCTCATTGGTCGGTCTTAAGGTCGCTATTAAAATCGATCAAGAGCATCAGCACAGTTGAGTTCTAATGTAAGAAACAAATCACACATATTAACACAATAACCACAAATAAATTTGTAAAGTACAAGGTTTGTATAATATGAGGACGGTATGGGAAGGAATTTTTAATTATATCCTTACAAACTGAAAACAACATGCCAAAATTATTATACGAATCTATTAAGACTTGAAATGAATAAAAATAATCGAAATATAGTAATGATAAAGCGATTGCAAGAATAGTCAAATTTTATTATAAAGGCTAAAATCTCTTTAGAAACAGTAACCGCACGACATTTGATTTTTGATTGTCATGTTCGTTAAATTGCTACATGCTTGAAGGTCATACTTTCCGCTACCATAACAACAACGTTTGTACCAATTTCACTTGAGTTGCTTGTCATATCACAAATATCAAGTTACTTGCTATTCCGTTAGCTGTCGAAGTTTGATGTGTTGAATATAATTGGTTGTTGTCAGTTCCGAAGAAAACCGATCGTATTAGAGTAGCTGAATCATTTTCGTTCCTAGATCTGTACTGAACCCCAATAATAGGACACAGAAATTGGCGACGGGAATGGCTGTTAAAAGTGTCGCTGATAAGTTTAAACAACAGCTCAAACTGATTGATTTACTTACGTTTGTTACATCTCGTGGAGGACAAAAGGCTGCCAACTAGCACTTTACATCCAACTCTGTCTTATGCAATCCTTTTCAGTTGATATTCATCCTTTTGATGTCTCCTTCCGATTCCTGATACAATGTGTTCTTTGGTCTTCCTCACTTACGTTTCCTTTCAGGATTCCAAGTTACCACTAGCCACACGATGCAGTTTGTTGATTTCCTATAACACTGGATGAAATGTTACCTCATACCCAAATCCCTAAGAACACATTACTATCAATATACCTATATGAATTTATGTTTGCTTTCTTATATAAACTATCCATTTATAAAAAGCTGTTCTCTGATTGATTAGAAAGTAGGTGGAAATTCACTGAGGTTATTTTAAGCTTACCCCTTAATTGTATCTACTACCATGGAACAACTTACTAACTTCAAGAAATTATCTTCGCCCTCCTTCTCACCTAACGTATTTAACAAATGAAATATATACTATTGTAATAAACATCAGCATCGATACGTTTCTATTATATACACAAACTCGATGTAAACTTGTCAAACAATGAAAGTATTTTGAGTCAGTCAGTCAGTCAGCTACAACGTAGGACCAGGCACATATGTGCATCGGTCCAGGTTGCCATACCTCATTAGCACAGCAAGATGAACACCGGATTCATAGAAGTGGTTAGGTCAGAGGTGGTAATATATAGGAGGATTGCAATAAGGATATAGTATAGGAAGAAAGAATTAGTTCGTAGAAAGAAAGATATGAAGTGATTTTAATCTCTTAGTTTAAGGGAAGACAGGGAGTGTATACACCGACGCCATTGTGATCGATTCTGAGCCATGTCACCAAGAGTCTCCAACCATTGGTTACGAAAGTCACGCGGACCCCAACCAAGTAGTCTGCATCTACCAACATGGCTCAGACTAGAAGTTAGTGACTTCAGGCACTGATGCCACGTTTTGGTTTGGCCGCCCCTAACTTTCTTCCAACCATCCCCTACACCGGTTAGCATTGCACGTCGTGGTAATCGGTGTTCAGGCATACGTAATACGTGGCCCAACCATCTCAGTCGATGAAGATTCATAACCTCATCAACTGATTTACCATCATTCCCTAATACCCTGCGTCTAACCTCACTATTACTTACCCGGTGATCCCAGCAGATGCCAGCAATATTTCTAAGGCATCTGTGGTCAAATACTAGTAGCTTACGGGTGTCTTCTACTCTTAAGGGCCATGTTTCGCTGCCGTAAATTAAAACAGAACGGACTGCCGCGCAGTATACTCGTCCTTTTATTGATAGACGGATATCTCGCCTCCGCCAAAGGTGACGTAAGTTGGCAAAAGCCAAACGAGCTTTTCGAATCCGTGCTGAGATTTCGTCAGACACCAACCCATTAGGGCTGATCAGACTTCCAAGATAAGTGAAGTTGTCAACGCGTTCGACTACTTCACTCCCTATCCTTAGTTCAGGTGTTGACGCAGACCAGTCCTGAAGCAACAACTTGCATTTAGAGGGAGAGAAGCGCATCCCAAACATTCTGGCATTGTTGCTTAGTGCTACCAGAAGACTCTGCATTTTGTCAGCGTCTTCACCAAACAGGACTATGTCATCTGCGTATTCTAAGTCGATAAGTGGACCTCCTGGAAGGAGATCAATACCCGAGAATTCAGTCGACGAGAGTGTTATTTCCATCAATAGGTCTATGATGAAGTTAAACAAAAATGGAGAAAGTGGGCAGCCTTGACGGACACCACTTGAGGTTGCAAAAGTAGATGACAGTTCGCCATAAGCCCTGACTCGACTAGTAGTGTTCGAGTAAAGAGCCTTCACAAGGTTTATGTACTTCTGAGGTACGCCTTTCAATGACAGACACTGCCACAGAATCTCGCGGTCTACAGAGTCAAATGCTGCTTTTAAGTCAAGAAAGACCACCATCGTCGGACGCCGATAAGTATGCCTGTGTTCTAGAACCTGACGAATGGTGAATATGTGGTCGATGCAGCCACGACCAGGTCTAAAGCCAGCTTGGTTCTCTCGTGTTTGTAGTTCACGAGTCTTAGTTAGGCGTTTGATAATTATCGAGGCCAGTATTTTAGATACTATGTTTGTTAAACTAATCCCTCTGTGGTTGTCACAGGATGATTTTGACCCTTTCTTATATATTGGGACGATAAGTGATTGCGACCAGTCAGATGGGATAACGTCTAATTCCCAGATCTTAGCTAAAATATTAGTCAACCTAATCGCTAAAATTGGACCACCATCCTTAAAGACCTCTGGAGCCAATCCATCTGGACCAGCTGCCCTTCCTCGTTTCAGATTAACTATAGCCTTCTCAACTTCAGCAAGAGTTGGGGGACCTACTTCAATGTTCCATTCACTTGTCTGGGAATGGAGGGTAGTTGTAGAGTAGCTGAAGGCCAGCTGAACTGTTCTCTAAAATGTTCCGCCCATCGTTCTAAACGTCTGGACTGGGAGCAGATGAGAGTATCATCTTTTTCCGAAATAATCTCACTTACACTTGACTTATTAATTCCAGTTTCTTTTATTAGTCTGTAAAGCTGTCTTGTGTTCCCTATAGTCGCCGCCTTTTCCATCTCTTTTGCTTTCGTTACCCACCACTGCTCACGGTCGTTCCTTAGACTTTTTCTTAACCTAGATCTGATTTGTTTACGCTCTTCATCATGTTCAGAACCTGATGGGACGAGTTTGCGAGAATCCATCAGTGTGACAGACCTTGAAGAAATCCACTGGTTCCTTGTAACTCTGTGGTTTAAGTCACTAATAGATGTCACTGCTGTTTCCACAGCTGCTTGTATGCCCTTCCAAGCAACATCTGGGTCAGCCTCGTCTTCACAACTACCTAAGTGTGACCTCAGTTGTTCCTGGAACCTACTTTTGGTTTTCTCGTTACTCAACTCAGTTCTAATGGGTCTTTTTAATGTGGCTTTTTTGCGTCCAGTGAGGCGCAAGCAGATGCGTGCCCGTATTAGGGCATGGTCGGAGTCCAAGCAGGTACTCCAGAATGAGCGACAATCTTCTACCGACCCTCTCCAACGATGACTGATGGCAATATGGTCTATTTGAGTCCATCGTTGGTTTGGTGTAGGGGGTCGCCATGTTAGACGATGTCTCTCCTTATGCTTAAAATTTGTGTTTGCTAAAAATAAACGATTGTCTGAGCATAGCTGCAGCAGACGATCACCATTATCTGTTCGCTGTGTCGGAATACTAAAATATCCACCTAAATGCCTTTCTGTTTGGTTTAAACTGCCTATCTGAGCATTAAAATCACCTGCTACGAGTACTATGTCTGAGCGTTTAGCTTTCTGAAGAAGTTCGGATAGCTTTCTGTAAAATTCATCTTTCACTTCATCTGAGCTGCAGTCAGTGGGAGCGTAGGCAGAAACGACAAAAAGGCAACGACGTGTGTCCCTATCCTTCCGAGTTCTTACGTAGCCGTTCAGCCGAACAGCACATAGACGACTGTTGACGGGGATCCACTCTAGCAGTGCTTGTTCGGCCCTCATGCTTAGTGCTATGCCTACACCTGCCAGTCCACGAGAACTTGCCATCGGGTCACCAGATACACGAAGGGTGTATCTCGTTGGCTCTCCGTTTGCCGAGGTGAGGTCAAGTGAATGACCACACTGGAATCCTGTATGCGTGTTTCGGAGACACAGCACACATCAATGGAAAGAGACTCTAGGGTTTTAGCCAAGGAAGCCTGCTGACCGATTTGACATAGGGTTCGTACGTTGAAGGCTCCAATGTGTAGTTTGGAGCGAGGTTTCAGTAGACCTGGGACAGTGTTTTGCGCACTAGAATCGTTGGCTATGGTGACACTTGAGGTGGAAGCCGAGAGGGGAAATTTAGAGTTGAAAGTCGATGTAGGAGGAATAATAGGAATTGAAGAGGAGGTTGATTATGAATACAGTGGTCTTGAGTGCTGTTAGAAGTATGAGGGCGGTTATCACTTCCCGGTTGCCCACACCGTGGAAGGGTTTTTCTGGAGGTACCTGAAAAGGAAATTGGATTAGAGGTGGTCTTAGTGAACTGAGAGCGTGACCGCAGTGCCCAAGGGACAACTGCTTGAGGTCGGTCACACACGACCTTGTTATGGGTAATTTTTGTGTTAGCTCCGTACTTATTGAGACCTTACCGCCGGAGACGGATATCCGTGGGATAAGGCGAGGTGTGCATTTTTAGGGTCGACCTTTTCTAACCCCACCCCTCCTTGTGGGAAGGCAGCATCGCTGTCATGCTGGTTGTCTGAAGGAAACACCTTACTGCTGTCACACCTCTGTACAGTCAGCAGTACGACTTCGCCTTCGGACCTTGGGTTTGTTGCTTTTAGTCTTACCGCTCTTCAACCGACCTGTCTGACATGGTAGGACCTTGAGGAACGGTTGTTCCAGCCAGTATAGCTCGGTTGCTTCATCACGATAGGCAAGCCCGACCACCACGTCAAGGTAGCAACAACGGTCGGGACGCGGGACATTGTAATAAACATCAGCATCGATACGTTTTCTATTATATACACAAACTCGATGTAAACTTGTCAAACAATGAAAGTATTTTGAAATAATGTGAATATACATAGACATATGTGTACATATTGTAAAACTGTTGAAAATACAATGCATAGACCACATAGTTTTTATAACAAATCAAATTACCTGAATTTCTTGTAAATGAAGTAGTGCTTCAGTTGGTGTAATTAATTTAATTGATCCATAACAACCAGTAGTATGTTGTTGTCCATTATTATTACTACTATTACCACCTTCTAAAGCGTCATGAACAATAGACACGTGTGTAGGACTATTCAATCCTAGCAGAACCCAACGTGCTGACATATTCGGATGAATTTCAAAATCAATATCATTATTATTACTATTACTACCAATAGAAGTGCTATTAGAAGAATTTCTATCACTGGATTCCACAGATCGAAGGATATGATTGTTTAATGCTGAGGACACAGTCATTTTTAACATTCCGACTGATATATGCGGTGGAATGTTATGCGCTAGAAGCCATGATTTACTTGATATAGAAATGGGAATCATAGGATGATAATCTATTCCACTGTTATGTATTTCGTCAATTTCACTAACACCAGCACCAAACGATTGTCGTCTTGTGTCATTCATTGAATTAGTAACATCATTTATCATATCTGACCATCTAGGATCACCAAGTGATGAGAGTTGAGATGATATAAACGGTGGTGGCAGTCTACTGCTACTATTGCCACTGACACCACCAACAACTCCGCCATTGCCACCACCACCACTACTACTGCCAGAGGGTGTCCAACGCCTATCAGTTGCTAATGAATTACGATTATTTGAAAAATTCTCGTGTAATTGTGGACTAGAACCTGACCAAGGACTAGATTCCCATAATAAAGAATCTTTAAAAAGCAAAACAAAGAGAGAAAATACACTAGTGCTCATCAAACTTGGGAGGGGGGAAACGAAAAATCCCCACATACCCAATCAAATAAATAAGCAGATAGAAAGAAGGAACATTAAATACTATAACACTAATGGAAATACATGCACCAATTTAATAACAGCACAATATTACGGTAAGTTTTCTTATTGGCTTATATCATGAAACCACCTTAGTCAGACAACCACTGGAAACGAAAGATAAATCTAAATATATTTAGCAGTAATTATGCAACAGTTTAGCAGCTATAAATCTTACGATCCTAACGAGGGTAAGATATAAAATCTGTGGAGTTTAAGTGTGAAGGGTTTGAGGTGCTTAGACGACGATAATGTGATAGGAAGGTTGCGCAAGAATGTGAATTTCCTCAAACCAGGAATGCAAACCATCAGATACTAATTCAGTGACCTAAAGATTAAGAGCTTTCTGTGAAACTCAATATACTGAGTTTGATTAGCTACAGGGTTAAAAGTAGGCATTCATTAGAAGTCATACAGCAGGACAAAACAGCTATTCAATACTCTTCGTTTTCCAATAGTTCCCAAACTAATGTTTGTTCATCAAATATCTTCACAAATTAATAGGAACCATATTCAATATTTGTATCAATTAAATGATTGAAAGTGTTAATGTAGCAATGTGAAAATAACAACAGCTAATAAAAGATAAATTGTGCAAAACAAATGCCAATAAATATATTTGTCAAAATATCATTTATAACAATTTGTACAAGAATAAAACAACAGTTTATTATTTAGCTAAAACAATAGAATTTCAATCATTAGATGAATACATGTTTAGATCGTGTTTAATTTACTTTACTCCACGAAGCCAAATGGTTGTGGTGTACCAACAATGGGATTGATCAAGCATTACTGGAGAACCCTATTGACTTCACTGGCAGGAAGACTGTTATATTTCAAAGCACATTACCCCGCTACGGGAATATGTTTTCACGGGGGAATAGAAAACCTTCGGGTCTTAGTGTGTGGGCGTCATGACCATATAGGACTAGTACAAGTTATATGCACGTCGGTAACAAGAGTTTTGCCTTACAGTCAGTCGGTCATCTACAACGTAGGACCAGGCACATTTATATGCATCAGTCCAAGTTGCCACACCTTATTAGCATAACAAGATCAACACCAAATAATTCATAGAAGCAGGGAGAAAGAATTAGTTCATAGAAAGGTATAAGGCAGTTTTAATCTCACAGTTTAAGGGAAGACAAAAAGTGTATACATCTACGCCATTTAAATCGATTCTGAGCCACATCACCCAAAGTCTTCAACTACTGGTTATAATAGTGGCGTGGACCCTAACTAAGTAATATGTATCTACCAACATTGCTCAGAATAGAAGTTAGTGACTCCAAGGATTGATGCCACGTTTTGGTTTGGCCGCCACTAACTTCCTTCCAGTGTCCTACACTATCAGCATTACACAACGTGGTATTCAGTGATTGGGTATGTGTAATACATGGCCCAACCATTTCAGTGGATGTAGGTTCACAACACCAACTGACATGCCATCATTATCTAACACCTTGCGTCTAACCTCACCCGGTGATCTCAGAAGATGAGGGCAATACTTCTAAGACATCCAGACCGTTACTACTATCTTGACGTAGTGGTCGGGTCTGCCTATAGTGATGAACCAATCAGGTTATACTGACTGAAATCGGGAATTGATAACTATACTCAGACTTTTGACAGCACTCAGGACCAATGAATACACAATAAGTATGCATGTTAACAAATCATTTAATAAGGGTGCTTCAGAACTAAGCCATGAATGCAAGTGAATTTCATAATTTCGTCATTTATTAACCATTCAACAAGAATATCCTTGACGAAAACAAAAACAAACACTAAAAATATGTGTTCGCCGAATCTTCAAAGTACATATTGAATTCAACCTCATAGCTTTCTTTTAACAAATTAATTAAATCGACTATTTCTATTATAATACAACTAAGAAAGAATAGTTATTTATGATAAAATAATTATTACTATTACATAAATGCCGATTTGACTTACTCATATTAAAATTTGATTGATCCGGTAGAAAATCAATATTTTCCGAACCATTACTATTATTACCGACTACAGAAATATTTAATGGTTGATTTGTTTTGCTACAACCACTAATCATACTGCCACTTTGTGTTGAAATAGGACACCATGATGATGATAATAATGCAGAAGTCGACGATACTGATGAACTATTACTGTTAGTCAATAAATTAAATCCACTACAATTAACTGGATTAGTTGTCCCTGTTAAACAATTAGGAATTATGTGTTGTACATTAGTAACTGTTTGACCAGTAGTACCACCGCCAACAATCACACCACTACTTGTTAATAATGATGATGGTGTAACAGTGGTAATATTAGTAGTGTTTAAATTTTGAGATGGATTAGATAAATTCGATGAGGACATAGTAATCTGTCGTAGCATACCAGCTTGACTACGTACATGTTTTAATTGAGCCTGTTGAGCATCGATTTGTTGACCAACTTGAAATGCTTGTAACTGTAGTTCATGTATAACAGGATTTGTAGCAAATGGAATATTAGTTGCTGAACGTATATGTGAGAGTTTTTGATTTAAATCCTTTTAAAAAAACAAAAATACGAAAGACATTTATGAGTTTGTCTTTATTTCAGAAGTATCGAAAGATAAGATGTCACCGTGAGTCATTCACTCTTAAGCAACGTAAATTCTGGCATATATCTGCATCGGTCCAAGTTTCCATATTATATCAGTACAGTGAAATGAAATTATCAAGATGGATATCAAAATAATAAACGTGGTAAGTGGAGTGATTTTGACTGATTTTCAATGATGTTAGCCGACATTTCTAACCACTAGATACAATCATAGCGCAAACCCCAGTCAGACAGCCTGTACGTGACAAAATAAACCACGTCAGCAGTCATTCACTTCATAGACTGATACGTCTTATCTTCTAACTTACTCCCACATCGAAAAACAGCTTATCACTGTAGGTGGTGAACTAGGACAGGTAACACTTGTCCCAACCAACTCAGTCATGAAGATTCACTAATTTATTTGCCAGTTTTCCATTCTGAACCTAGTATTTTGCTTCTAGACTTAGTATTATTTACTGGATGATTCGAAGATGCAAGACCAAGGCTTTGAAGTTTTTAAAGATCCTGATTAGAGTAATGATAAAAAAACTAAGGAATAAATTGAATTTAACCAAAATGACACTGTACAAACAAGGTAATCATAACTGATAGAAGTTTAAACTAAAAAGAAAATTATCAAACCACAGCAAGTGAAACTAAGAAATATGCAGTTGCAAATAAGTTAAGCTTAGAGGAAAATGGGGGGGGGTATGTAATCTATGCCAGTGCGCTTGTGATTGTTCTCGAACTCCATACACCAACTTAAAGTCACCAAAAGTACAGGTCGTGTATACAAGATTATATGCGAATTTAGATTGGCCAACACAAACCGATGTAATTGGAGATGGATTCGAGTCTGTGACCTAGTAGTAGTAGTCAAAAATCGAATGATTTGACCATTAGACCATTGTTTCAAGATCCATAGCTTGTAAATATACTCTAATGTGTGAACAAGTAAATTTAAGTAACCTGAAGTAGTAAGTAATCAAATTTTGTCAATTACAATACTTCTAAATTAAATAGGGAATATAAAAGAAAGATGAAATGTTGTGTTAGCGGAACACAGAATGGATTAAAGCATGCTCAATGCACGTTTGCTTTGGTGCACTCTGATTGGATAATTCATATTCAATCAGCGTTAGTCAATACTTGGTGAACACTCTAGAAATCTCCTCATGTGAAAAAAAACTATAAATATACTAACATTTTCCCTATTGTGCTTCTTACTTTCATCTAACCTTGTTATTTCTGTACAACCGTGTTCTGATTTGGGGGAACTTGTCGAGTGAATCGATGTCCGAGAATACTAAGCAATAGGAATAGCTGGGTTTTAAATCGTAAGAGAGAATGATAACATTTTGTAATGAAAATGACTAAATAAACTATGGTTTATGTTGTGATTATATGATTTATGACTTACTTGATGTTTTGAATGTAATTGTACAATGGTTTGAAGTATTTGTGTTTCACGTTGTTGCAATAATTGTAATGATAATTCTAAATTTTCTGTAGGTTGATTATTATTATTATTATTATTATTACTAACTGGTATATTGGATTTCATCATCTATGTATATGTAAAAAGAAAAAGTGAATATATCAAAATTAATAGGTAACTTGTAAAACTATCAACTATGATATCTCAGTAAATTAAATAAGTTGTTCAATAAAACATCTTATTCACTTATTGGCTACGTTATAAATTCGTGTATTATTTACCATTGAGTTACATCTCGTTAATCGGTTACAGAAATGTAAACAGATGAAGAAAGGTGAGAAGCAGAACTAGAGTGAGTGAGAATTGAATGTCTAAACCACTGAGTTATAGTACAGCTGAATAGTCAATAAGTAATGATGCGGTGTACTTATTGAATACAGGTACTTATAATAGACTTCAAGTTACAATTCATTCAATTTAAAATAGATTGGATTAACCCGTTGTTAGTATTTTGATTGAATTTTCATCAATCTTAGTCTATGAGGATTGCCTCGATATAGCCATAAAACAACTTAAATGTGGTTAGCGGTGGAATCTGTGACGAACATTTAGTCTAATTCAGGACTTGGCAGCTGAATGTACTAGAATTCCAGAGTTGACGTCCACTTCAGAGAACATGGAATCAAAACAAATAGCATTTTCCATGAGAATTAATAAAATCATTGTGATTGAAAACCATTCATCTATGCTGTAAATTTTTAGGTGTAAAATATTTGAATAGTCAGTTAGATTTTGAGATTTAGTTCAAAGTCAATGACAGGAATAGTTGCAGATGGAAACAATTTGTATCTTAGCAGTAGTATGTTATTAAAAGTGTTGCATTCTCTGAACAAACGATTTATTTGTAAAGCTTTCCTCGTTATCTTCGACAATACTTTCAAAGCATCCTTCAAGTAGAAATAAGTTTTTTCTCTAAAGAAAAAAACTTCGTAAGTGATTGTTATAATTTCAGTCAGTCAGTAACAATATAGAACTTCGTATGTACGTACATCAGTCCGAGTTGCCATACCACATTAGCACAGAGATTCAGTGGTCGATTTATATCTCATAATAATGTTGTTTGTAACCGCTTGGTTATCTTAGTATCTTTTTTTTGCGATGAATTTGTTTAATTGATTTATGATCAAGTGATCCATTAACCTTTGCTATATAGATTGATAAAATTAGATCTAAGTGTAAGTCAAAACAACATCCATTCTGTTCAAAATTAATTTTTAATTAATAGTGTTGAATTTATAGTTATACACAACACTATTGGATTATTCGATCTATATAAAATAGAATGAAATGATTGTATTGTGTCATATTGCCCCCTGAATGCCCTGGTACGGCCGAGAGTGGGGAGAGTCCGCTCTCCCTCTCGAAATACTCTCACACGGCCACGCGTATACAGCCTCTGCCAGGGAAGTCCTACTCATTGCCTTCTCGTGGCGGGGGTGTTGTTTACGAAAATGAGAGGACGAAAAGCGAATGTCCGGCGCTTTAACCGGATTCCAAACCAATGGTGCACATGGGCTCCAGTATCCTGCGGGAACGAATGGCGTATGAACCAATCGTTGGTCACCGGCTACCATGGGACTGCATCTCCTTACGATGCTCCACTGCCTTGTGGGTTAGACCTTTAGGTCAAAGGCTCGGGGAGTGGCCCCCTAAGATAACCACCTGCTTCGGTTTGGGCACCCGGGCAGTATCACAGCCCACACACAAATGATGAACTCTTTATGTCTATGGAAATTACTTTTGTCGCTTTGAAAAACAAACAATTGATTCAAATTATTATCATTACAATTATTGTCATTATTAATACTAATATTATTATTACTACTATTATTGTCATTATTGTTATTATTATCATTATTATTATTATTTTCCACATTATTCACCCTCTTTTATACTTATACAGCGGCTCGTCTTTGGTGGAATTCCGACTGTATCTAAACGTTCTCGAGTCACTGTCCGGTTGAAAATTGTATGTTACCACCGAATACGAGGACTGAAGCAGATTTTCTGAAACCACGTGCACCATTCAAACTGGCTGCCTTCAACGTTCGCACATTTATGCAGGTCGGACAACAGATAGGGCTGGCTATGTCTTTGGAAAGTCTTAATATCGACGTGTGTTGTCTATCCGAGACCCGTATTCAAGACTCTGGCGAAGTACTACAAATTCGATCTCCATCTGTCGCTTCGAAAAGCTTGTTTTACGTGCGCTTATCCGGGGACCCTGTGGCATCTTCGTCTGGTCTTGCTGGCGTTGGTGTCGCACTAAGCGCTAGAGCTGAGGCAGCACTAGTCGATTGGATCCCCATTAACAGTCGGTTATGTGCTGTTAGATTAGAAAGTTCCATCAAAGTGAGAAGAAATCGGCGTGAGAAACGATGTCTTTTCGTCATCTCCGCCTATGCCCCGACAGATTGCAGCCCGGATGCAATCAAGGATGAGTTTTACCACCAGTTATCAGTTCTTCTCCAGAAAGTGCGTTCGACAGATATTGTAGTACTAGCCGGAGACTTGAATGCTCAGGTCGGGCGTCTAGGCACAGAAGAGAGTCGTTTAGGTGGCCGATGGGGACTCGTTGGTCGCAGGTCAGATAACGGGGACCGTCTACTGCAACTTTGCACAGACCACAACCTGTTTCTGGCTAGCACTAACTTTCGGCACAGTCATCGCCGATGTGCCACCTGGCGTCCTCCCTCTGCATCTCAAGCCTGGACTCAGATTGATCACATCGCGATCAGCTACCGCTGGCGTGGTTGTGTACAAGACTGCCGCTCCTTTTGGAGTACCTATCTGGACTCTGACCATGCCTTGGTCTGCGCCAATCTTGCCTTACTTTTCAGTGGACAACGAAGTGAACGCCATCAACGGATTGATGTTAGCAAGCTGGTTGCAACTTCTGTTGCAAGTAAGTATCGAACCGAGCTAGCCTCTAGGCTAGCTACCACTCCACCGAAAAGTATAGATGAGCATTGGTTGCAATTGCATGACGCCATGAAAATGGCGGGAACAGTCAGTTGTGGGTTTGCGAAACGTCCCGCTTTTAAGCACTGGGTTTCTTCTGGTTCCTTACAACTCATTGAAGCCCGTCGGTCTACTCCGGGTGACCGTGAGTTTGACCATAAACGAAGGATGTTACGTAAGGAAATTGGGCAAAGCTTGCGTAAGGACCGAGAAGCCTGGTGGTCGATGCGTGCTAATGAGCTGGAAGCAGCAGCTGCATCTGGTAACTACCGGAAGCTCTTCCAACTCATCCGAGCCACTGGCAGCAAGAAGTCTGGTGTGAGTGAAACAATCTGCGAGGATGATGGGATGCCAATCACTAACATCCATCGACGTCTTGGACGATGGGCAGAATTTTTCGAAGGGCAGTTCAACTGGCCTGCTGCTCCGGCAACATCGGTCAGACTGTCCTGCCCTCCATGGCCGGTGACGACTGATCCACCAAACGAGGAGGAAGTCCGCAAGGAACTCCAACTCTTGAAGCGTTACAAATCACCTGGCCCAGATGACTTACCTCCGGCTCTTTTTAAAGATGGTGGTGACTTTTTGACTAAGGAATTGACGACGTTGTTTACAAAGGTTTGGGAACTAGAGAGTGTACCAACGTCATGGAATGAGTCGATAGTTGTCCCTATCTTTAAAAAGGGTTCACGTCGTTCTTGTAACAACTATCGGGGGATAAGTTTACTTCCGATTGCGTCCAAGCTATTGGCTTCCGTCATTCTTCGTAGGTTGTTCAAAACCCGAGAAAGATTGACTCGCGAGGAGCAGGCTGGGTTTCGTTCTGGTCGAGGATGTATTGATCATATCTTCACCCTCCGCCAAATGTTAGAACACCGCCATACTTTTCAAAGGCCAACAATCGTAGTGTTTCTTGACATCAGGGCTGCCTTCGATTCGTTGGACAGGACTGTTCTCTGGGATTGTCTATTGAAGAAGGGTGTGCCTGAGAAGTTTATTAACATCCTAAAAGCCCTGTATAAAAACACCTCAGGCAGAGTGAGGGCATACAACCACCTCTCTCCATTGTTCCATTCGAGCAGTGGGGTTAGGCAGGGTTGCCCAATCTCACCATTCCTCTTCAACTTTGCCATCGATGACATTCTGGAAACAGCTCTGATGAATGTAAGTAATGGTGGTGTGGATCTGTTGCCTGGAGAAAGACTTCTCGACCTTGAGTATGCGGACGATATTGTCTTACTGTGCGATAATGCCCAAGGCATGCAATCCGCACTTAATCAGTTGGCAATCAGTGTCCGTAGGTATGGTATGTGCTTTGCACCTTCGAAGTGCAAAGTACTTCTACAAGACTGGCAGGATTCTAATCCTGTACTCACCCTGGATGGTGAGCAGATAGACGTAGTTGAGAAGTTCGTGTATCTGGGTAGCTGCATAAGTGCTGGTGGGGGTGTGAGTGATGAGATCAATGCACGAATAGTGAAAGCCAGAGCGGCTTATGCCAATCTGGGCCACCTTTGGCGCCTTCGTGATGTTAGTCTGGCTGTAAAAGGTCGGATCTACAACGCGTCGGTGAGAGCAGTTTTGCTCTATGCTTGTGAAACCTGGCCTCTCCGAGTTGAGGACGTTAGACGACTCTCTGTGTTCGATCATCGCTGTCTCCGAAGGATTGCTGACATTCAGTGGCAACACCATGTCAGTAATGCAGAGGTTCGGCATCGTGTGTTCGGGCACAGAGATGATAACTCAATTGGTGTCACCATCTTGAAACACCGACTTCGGTGGCTTGGACATGTTCTCCGAATGTCGTCCCAGAGAATTCCACGTCGTGCATTATTTGCCGACTCTGGGACTGGTTGGAAGAAGCGGAGAGGTGGTCAGTGCATGACATGGTGTCGTGGCATGAAAGAAAGCTGCAAAGGACTGGCTTGTGTTGGTCCTTCACGACTCCCTGGTTGGGGTCCGAGAGATGGTGCTACACAGTGGCTAGAGACGTTATCAGATATGGCTCAGAATAGAAGCCAGTGGCGATCCTGCTGTAACCTTCTTTTACTTTCTTCATAAAAAGTGGTTGTGTCTCCTTTACCTGAAAGATTTCTTCTGATTGTACCTTATCGTCATTACTCTCTTTTTCTTTTGCGTTCCTTAGTTTTTTTTTTCTTCTTCTCTTCGAATTCCCATTGTTTTGTGTGGCGCATATATATTGGCGCTCTCTTGTACCAATATTTATGTGTTCAAATAAAATAAATAAATAAATTGTGTCATATTGAGTGTTAATGATTTCATCAAATAGACTCTAAGCTTTTGTGATTGATGGTTTTGAAAATGTTTTCCAATACATGATAGAACAATCTGATTTATAGACATGATTGTATGGTAAGTGTTAGTTTGTCAGTTTTTCTTTTTGTTGAGAAAATTCCATGGAGTAGGTACTTTTATTGTAAAAAAAAAACGGAGTGAAGATAAATATCTTCGATTTTACGAGCAGGAATAGTGGGAATGATCATAAAGCTAAAAATCTGCTCGGAGGCGCTGATTAACTTATCGTCTAAAAGAACAATGATAAATTCGCAATTAAATTATTTCAGTTTAATGAAGGTAATACTACCAGAAAAGGTAAATAAAATGTACTGTAACATAGACAGATAGATAAACCTTATTACCTCATTTCCTCTCATTGCATTCATAGAACGATTGGGATTTGTACTTTGTCCAGGAAGATCTGACTGTTGTCTAACATCATTTGAATTAGGTGTAGGCAACAAATTGGACGTGATTGGTCTCAGTGCATTGATTAATTCATCAATGCCTGGATGGCCTGATCGATCACGTAAGTCAACTAAAAGACGGTATAATTGATAAGCAATCGAAGTTATCTTTTTCTTTTAGCAAAAATTATGCAATAAACTGATAATTTTTTCTCATTTTAAAATGATACTTTGTATTATACTTGAATAAGAATATCACAATTCTATATGTCAGTTATGTGAAACAATAATAATGATAATAGTTGGAGATTAGATTATGCAATAGAATGTGAGAAAAGATCTGTTTTGAATTTATAACGTGGATATATAAACAAAGGACTGACTTCACAGTTAAACAATAGAGTTGTTGTAAAGGGAAGTATGTTGGAAAAATTAGTACCGTTTTAATATAAGGGACATATTAGCAACCAACATCTTCAAGTCTTTTGTAGCGAGTAGGTTACCTTTAGATTGCTCTAAGTTGATATAAACTGTATCATAGTTTCACAATATTGATTTTACGTTCTTAAATAAATAGTCTATTTATATATTTGTTTATAATGTCTAAGAAATACGGCATCCAAAGATGCATCACACAAATGAATTGATATTGTGAAGAAATAAAAGAGAGATGCGGTGTATGATTGATAAACAAACAAATAAGGATAGTAATTAATATGTGATACAGTTCAGTCAGATATACAAACAAGAAAAACGCTTCTCAGTTAATAGAGAATGTCTCTCAATTTCATAAGAGTGGAGACAAAAATCACTGAGGGAGTACCAACGGCTTCTATTCTGAGAGATGTCTAAGGACGTGCCAATTCACTGGAGTTACACAAACCTTCTATAACTACAATCAAGAAGTAGTAATACACAAACAGATGTCATTTCTATACAGCTATCTTTAATATCGTGGCGTCAAGTCATACACTAACTATATTTGTATGATACAAGGATTCATGTTAGAAAGTGTTGTTCTATTTTGTCGTAAAGCTTTGTAGTTGTTCCTGATAATTCCAAACGATTAAGTGAAATTTTCGATAACTTCAATTCTAGTAAAGAGTTATAATAGCTAGGTGCGGATACAAACATGACTATGAACCAATTAATCTGAAATAAAACTTACTCAATGCTCGTTCCACATTTGTATTTGTATCAGCGAATATAGGTTGTATTTCATCTTCAGTAAAACCCAAGTTAAAAGTTGACGCATCACATGGGCACGAATCATACTCTGTTGTTGTAATTGATGTGAATGCTGTTGTGGACTCATAAACATACGTTGTGACATAGGTGTTGACGAAAAACCGGGAGTTATAGGTGGATAGAAGGCACTTTGAGGCGTTCTAAATGATTGGTTTACACCCCTAGAAGGAGGTAATGACGAAGGAAACTCTGAGGTACCAATCTGTTGCGAAACTCGAGGAGTTATGCTTTGAGTAGGTTGATTGAAAAATCCTCCAGCACTACTACTATCCATCCCAGATGCATTAGTTGACCAAGGTCCTGGAACAGTACCTGGGCGTCGTTGGTCTGTATGTGGCCATATGCCTTGCATATGTGTAGTTGTTGCACCAGGAGGCCATCTTATACCAGTAGAAGTCATATTAGGCAAAACATGGGGTGTTGGATGTTGTTGCTTACCAGGTAAACGGTTCATATTCTGTCCGGGCCACCGAGACTTATTACCAAAATTAATCCCAGGAACAGAAGGGTCAACTATAAATAAACCCAATAAAATTCAAAATTCAATAATGAACTATATCATTGTATTGACAGAAATGAAATGGAAAACAAATTATCAACTCATACCGTATGGAAAATAAACCATAAGAGATTGTTTTGAAATGTCACATTAAGAACAGAGAAATAGCTCAAAAAAAAAATAAAGTCGTAATTTTATAAATTCCACAAATATCATCTATAGACTTCGCCAAAAGTTATCTTAGTTAAAAATTAATAGTTAAATAATATGCAGTTAGTGTTTATTCAGTAATTTGTTCCGCTAAGCTAGCTGATGCATACTCAAATCACACCAACTATTACATTAGTTTTGACAGTCTAAGCATACCGACCACAGCAACTGTTGTGTAGGTCAACAATGAAATGAGATTAAACTGTTGGTTAAGTATCCAATTGTAAATACAGAGATGTTGATAAAAGTAAATGGCAGATTTTTAAAAAATGAATTTCAACTAAGGGATCTCTTTTCAATGAATTCATTATCATTCTACCAATTCACAGGTTGATTTTAAGGTTGTTTATACAATTCGTTCAAATATACCTAGATTTCTTCGTATCCAACTCCATAAACCAGAGAAAGCTCTTACCATCCATGAGCTCGAGTCAGAACTGAGAGTAAAAAAGAAGTACGTCCTATCGTTACTCTGGAGTTATTCTATTATTGATATTATTACATTTCGTATTTGAAAAGAACCCCCTATCTTTACTTATGTCTCATATCCTCATGATTTAATTCATTATTGTTGAGATCATTTAATTTCGTATCTCTATTACCCTTAATTATTGTAACAAAAACATTTTAACAGCCGAATTCATCAGTCGATCTAAGCTAAACTACGACTTTAAACCTGGAAGCACTAGAGAGCCGTTTCGTTTTAAAATACGACTCCTTAGCAGTGCACATCCACGATCTCACATATTGGACGCTAACCCAGCATCTTCGGATTCGCGCATGAACACAACCTGTAGACTACTGAGCCGGCATCCAACGATGTTAATTCTACTTTTAAATTAAACTATTAAAATTACTACAATCTCAACAATCCCTCATTCTGATAAAGAATTTTTAATTATCTTACTTCATCCATGTTATAATCCGTTGCTTACTAACTTTACAAGGCGCCCTCTATTTGCACGCACAAACACAATAATCTATTGTTACTACTTATCTTGCATAATCTAGTATTATAATCTTCTTATTACATCATTATGTCTACTCCTTGTTCATATGTCATGACGGAACTAATGCTCTAATAATATATATACATACTCTGGTACGTCCGAGAGTGCAGAGAGTCAACTCCCCTCTCTCGAAGTACTCTCACATGAACACGTGCATACAGCCACTACCAGGGAAGTCCTATTCACTGCCTTCTCGCACCACGGGTGTTGTTTACGAAATTGGGAGGACGAAAAGCGAATGTCCGGCGCTTTAACTGGGTTGATGGACATGGAGAGTCCACCTAGGGAGTTGGAAAACCCTCATTCCAAACCAATGGTGCACATGGGTTGGCTCCAGGATCCTGAAGGAACAAGTGGCGTATGAATCAATCGTTGGTCACCGGGTACCTTACGTTGCTCTACTGCTTTGTGGTTCAGACCTTTGGGTCGAAGACACCGGGTGTGGCCCCCTAAGGAAACCACCTGTTTTGGTTTGAGCACCCGGACAGTATCCCAGCACCCACACAAATCGAATGACTTATGTGGCGCATATCTATTTGGTGCCTCCTTGTATCAATGTTTATGTGTTCAAATATATATATATATATATATATATATATATATATATATATATATATATATATATATATATATATATATGATTGTACTGCTGGATAATAAATTTGTTGAAAACAGATACCTTCGCTGAACTTCATGTTTTTAATGTTTAAATGGAAATTATATGTTCAATGATAAATTTTCACTGTGAAATTTCAAAAGCATTTCAATACTATTTTTATTTACTTGTATAAGAGAAAACTTGAAAATGGAACCTTTTGAAGATTTATATACAATGATTAATTACGGTCGCAATAGATAAGAATCAATCAATTAATTAATCAGAAAAGGTTGAAAAAACAAACAAAAAACCACTGAACTGAATGACACATAAATTTATCACTTGTAATATATTGAATGAAAATCTAATTTGATATATGTAGTTTACACCCAGTATCCTAATTATATGATATATTTATAAACTACGTTCTATCAATGGTCAAAGACTCGTTCTAAGTAAAGACCAGTGTCAGGCAAGGTTGCTTACTCCCACTCTTTCTCCTGGTGATTGAATGGATCATGAGGACGTCAACATCTTGGGTAAGGATGGGATACAGTGGACATCTAGGATGCAGCTGAACGATCTAGACTTCACAGATGATCCGGCTCCTCCATCGCACACGCAACAACAAATGCAGGAGAAGACGACCAGTGTCGCAGCAGCCTCTGCAGCAGTAGGTCTCAATATACACAAAGGGAAAAGCAAGATCCTCCGATACAACACAGCATGCACCAATCCAGTCACAATGGACGGAGACGATATTTAATATTTGGGCAGCATCATTGATGAACGTGGTGGATCTGATGCGGATGTGAAAGCGCGGATCGGCAAAGCAAGGGCAGCATATTTACAACTGAGGAACATCTGGAACTCAACAACTCTCTGTTAGCCAACTTCAAGGTCAGAATTTTCAATACAAATGTCAACACAGTTCTACCGTATGAGGAGGAAACCTGGAGAACTACGAAAGCCATCATACAGAAAATACAGGTGTTTATTAACAGTTGTTTACGCAAAATACTTCGGATCCGTTGGCCGAACGCTATTAGCAACAACCTACTGTGGGAGAGAACAAACCAGATTCCAGTGGAGGAAGAAATCAGGAAGAAGCACGAGAAGTGGATAAAAACACACATTGAGAAAAGCACCCAACTGAGTCCCAAGGCAAGCCCCCACAAATAAGTAAAGTGTTCTAGCAATGTCAATGCAAAATTTTTTATAGTCTGTTCATAGTATATTTCTTGTTAAACAGATATATATGACCTAGAATAGATCTTACCTTTTGTATCGGCTTAGTCAGATTATAACGGTTAAGATGTATTGCAATATATATATATATATATATATATATATATATATATATATATATATATATATATATATATATATAGAGAGAGAGAGAGAGAGAGAGAGGTCGATTGGAAAGAAAAAAATCTTGCTGGAGTATAATTACAATAAAATGTTACTTCTGATTTAAAACTACTTGAATTGATAATGTTATCTCATTTAAGATAGAAACTAATAGACTAACTCTACAATTAGTTAAAATGAATTTATTTGTTCTTATGACTAATAATAAACATGAAAATGAAAAATTTTACAAACCTGGTTGTGTTCCCGAGGTATAGGGCCAAGAAACTCCTGAACCAAGATTCACCGGATTAGCTATTGGGAAGCTTCTAGATGAAGCACCACCACTACCGGTTCCCGCTATATTACTATTAACAGGTCCTATTGGGTGATTTCCACCGAAGATCGGTCTTGTTCCCAAATTCATAACACTTGAATTTGAAGGTGGTTGTCCTACAGGAAATATAGTCCCTGGAACTGCACGATTGATTCCACGAAAACTTTCAGTACTTGGTGGCAGTTGACCTTGTTGAGGTCGAGATCTAATAGTAGGATGTGAAATTTGATTAGAGGTGAAGTTAGGAGGGTTGATAAGTTGTGATAAAAATGGAGCCTGAGATGTTTGTGTAGAATTACCACTATTTTGATGCCATCGGGCAGTTCTCTCACCAAGACTCTCATAATGGGACTCCCAAATCCCAGTACCGTTTGGAGGTTCACTTGGCCAAACATTTGATTCCAGATCTCTGTTAAATGAAGAAGCTGTGGAGCTAAGACGCCTGGAATGTAAAGATGACTGAGAACCTGTCGGCTGGATAGTTGACACTCCACTAGATTGATTATGACCTGAAATTCGTGATGCAGCAGAAGTTTCACTCACAGGTGGAGATCCTGTAATCGGTCCAGAGGAATGTATTGGCAAGCAGTCACCATTTGCTTCAGAACAATTCCATGGTGTGCTTTGATCAACTGGATGAATACCCCATGGTTCAGTAGTATTAACCGCAGTGCGAATAGCTTCCTCAGCATCACATACCGAAGAGTCGATATCGGAACTAGACTTTTTTAAACTAGTTTGTCCAATATCAAATTCTGATAACTTGTTACTACCTCGTGCATTATTGTTTATGTTAGAAGAAAGTGACTGATTTTCAATAAAATCAGAAGGATTGCCGAATCCACTGACGGAATTATTACTATTATTATTAATGTTTATACTTGATAAAGGAAAAGCCAATCCAGATCGATCGTCTGAATAAAGGGAAAAAAGAAAATAAATAGATTTTATCGAAATATATGAGATCTCTTATAAATGATAAAATAGCAAACATAGAATTCAGAGAGGGGTTTTCCATGGTGGTTTAGCTTCAATTAACTCATGAATTCAACTATTAAACATAGAATTACTTTGAATATAGATTTACAATTCATAAAACATACAAAAGAATAAACGATGAAGAGACGAAGGTATATAATGCTCCAAAATAAATAAAAGATGTAGGATATAACTTAACTACGTTACACAGGTTTATATGATAGACTGTGTGGTAAACTAAGATAATAAAATGAAAAAATAACCCATTTAAATTAAACCCATTTCTGAATTAGTGAAACGCAGAATAAAGGATCGATGCAATTTACATAAAATGATAGGTAGAAACAATTGGAGGCGTTTCATTCACTAAGAGGTGTCTTAATGTTTAAAATATTCAGCTTTTAACTATCCCAGGTTCGAAATCCGCTTCACCAACCTCGGTTTGGGCAACAGATAGTATCATAATCCTTCACACTGAGTGTGGTTTATGTCAAAGTACCTGATGAATGAGCCAGTTATGTAATTTACCCATCCACTGAAAGTAACTAGTATGTTTAAATTAGTCCAATCGGGTACACAGCTATTATCATACTACAAATACTCATTTAATACGTATAGGTTTATGCACTGAACTTCAAGCCATATTGCTTGTGTGAGTACTAACGATACTTCTACTGAGCTGTCTGAAACCAAAATAGACAGATAAGATGACGTCAATGCTTAATAAATTATGATCAGTGCCTATACAATACAAGGTAAGGATGAATATCCTGTTGAATAGATATTGTGTTAGATCAACTAAGTTTCAATAATCGTAAAATAGTATGTCATGGATTGTTACATTGAAAAAAAGTCAGCCATGCATGAATTAAACCCAAAATAGTGTTAAGATTGTCATTATACTTTGCATACTGGGAAATACTACTTATTTTCACCTTAGCCATATGATAAATCCTCTAACTGAACGCTTGATTCGGTTTCCTAAGCTTTTGTAGTAACCCCATGCTAGGTCTACACGATAAATTGAGCTCCAAGGTTAGTTTATTTACAGAAAATCCAGGGTTTTTATAGTATTTCAGATGGCATCGGGCTTCTGGAATGCCCTGAAACCCTTCGAAACATAGTAGCAGGATAAGTAATCATCCAATCAGAATGGTGCCATGCGAATTTTCACTTTCTAGACGCTTTTGAGAAACGTACTGATTGGATAAGATGTTTCCCAGTGTTTTCAGGGCCCCTTTGGGCTTTTTTCGAGCAATTTTTTGGGTCTGCCCAAGATTATAGTTTCTAGCGTCTATTATTACTCATGAAGTATCGAATTACTATCAAGGTATTAGGAAAATCATATTTGCATAAATATTAAGCTGCATAAACCAAGGACAAATATGTGGATATATAAACATCACGATTCTTTCAACACTGAGAGTAGACAATATGATTTCACAATAAAATAATATCATACTACAGTGTATAGAAGCAGTAATAATGACGAAATAGATGTATTATACGCGCTGAAATTTATGACACTGTTCAGAATTCAAAATGACATCGGTAGGTAATAATAATTAAGACGTTCACCTGTTGACATCCTCGGTCGGATTTTCCAAAGTGGAAGAAAAATGGTACACCTAATGATAACGGTTGGCCGGATTTTGGAAATGATGTCAAGAGATGAGTTCGTATAGCTTGTATCTACTACATATTGCATAATAGATGAGGTAATTAACATTCCTTGTTCAATATTAACCTACACTGGTAGATGAACCTAATTACAGCGAAGTGGGTTTGATGAACAACCTACAAATGGAGCAGAAAATCTTTAGTATACTCTACTATAATCGCACTCTTGTATGCCACCTCATGGAAAATAAGTTGCCATGACTGACCATTTCAATGTATATATAACAGTTTACTTGCTTCCATGGAATTAATTCATACAGATCATTGAGGCCACTTCTTTGTTGCATTCGGAGACATCTACCGACACGGATAAGCAATCGACAATATGTATCAATCACTTCATCTATTCTGCACCATGCAGTAATAACAAATCGAAATTTAATAATGAATTCAAAGTGTTAGTAAAACGTCATGGTAACAAATGCACAATCCAAGATGTTAAGTTTTGAAAAGGTGGGACAAAAAAACACATACCATTTAACAAATCTTGTTCATTATTCAATGTTGTCCAATGCTGCATATAACGACGAGAACGATCTGAATTCAATGTGTCCGACGGTGTGTTTGCTAAGGTTACATTATTTAATTGCTGACCAGTAATTGCTCGAGGCGCAGTAATAGAACAATTATTATTTGGATTATCGAAAGACCATGGATTAAGAACTTGCATATGATTATTAGTGATAGGAAATGTATTAGGTGAACCTAATAGAGAGCTGACATTTGAAGTTGTTTGACCTGAAAAAGGTGTGGTTGCCCACTATGCAAAAAAGTATGTGTTGGAATAAGTGAAATACTTAATAAGTTTAGTAAGAAAAAGTAGTGACTCTAAAAAATATGTTTCTGGAATACGGAAGAAGATCGCTCAGTCCTAGTTTATGGGTGTAAAATTCAGCAAGTAAGAATAGAGGTGTTAGGTCTCCTACTTTAATCTAGCATTACTCTATTATCTAGTATTCCACAGACGCTACTCCACTCGACTGATCCCCGAATGGAATCACAGTTTGGGTAGGAACGTAATAACATTCCAAACAAAACACCAAGTCAACTAGGTTCATACAGTAAGAAAATATCGGTATATTTATAATTTTTATACTGGAAGTCTCTGGTAATCCACTAGCGTTAACCGGTTGAACGTTGACCAATCAGTATGTTATTTGAATCAAGTTTTACCTGTATTTCTGTCCTGTTAACAAGGGATTATTCGTAGGTTGTTAGTACCAGATCATACATATCTTGGAAGCATCACTTTTGTGTTTTGGGACCACCAAGTGAGTAATGCTAAGGTTAGGCATGGGGTATGGCCCAAGCACCGCCTACCATGACGAGTGGTTTGGTGAAGAAATATGTTGGAAAAAGAAATTAAAGCTCTAAATGTGACATTAGTTTATGGATTCATTGACAAGTGGATCAAGATACCCCTGTTATTACGTACAGGATATCTGGTTGGGGTACAAATGATTATCATGACTAGTGGTAGGAGAGTTTTGGTGATATAGCTTAGAATGGTTCGCAACGCCGCAGATGCATTTACACCTTGTCTTTTCTTAGAACATGAGCCTTGAAGTCACAAGGATCCAATCCGTCAGGGGGCATCAGTTCCCGCAAGTTTATTTATTTATTTTAACACATAGATATTGGTACTTGGAGACACCAAATAGATATGCGCCACATGAATCATTCGATTTGTGTGGAGGCCGGGATACTGCCAGGGTGCTCAAACTGAAGCAGGTGGTTTGCTTAGGGGACGACACCTGGAGCATTCGATCTAAAGCTCTGATCCACAAAATAGTGGAGCAACGTAAGGAGATGCAGTCACATGGTAGCCGGTGACCAACAATAGGTTCATACGGTATTTGTTACTTCAGGATACTGAAGCCAATGTGCACTATTGGTTTGGAATGAGGATTTTCCAACTCCCCAAGGCGGACTGTCAGCGTCCACCAACCCGGTTAAAGCGCCGGACACTCGCTTTTCGTCCTCTCAATTCCGTAAACAACACCCGTGATGCGAGAAGGCAGTGAGTAGGACTTCCCTAGCAGAGGCTATATACGCGTGGCCATGTGAGAGCATTTCGAGAGAGTGAGCGGACTCTACCCACTTTCGGCTGTACCAGGGCATTTAGGGGCAAATAGGAACTATAACTATTACTGAAACGGTCACTGATTTTACTACTACACTGAGATTAGCTTTGATGACACTATCTCGTTGTGTTGTGGTGTTATGACTTGAACCGAAGCACATATGTGCCAGATTATATGTTGAACGAATATAACTGACTGGAGATCATGACAATCAAACCTTGATATTAGAGAAAAAGGAAAATATAAGATACAAATACTAACCATCTACGCAAACAAAACCTACATAAATGTGACAAATACCATAAAGTATATGCTAATCATCGAACCATCAGTTAAATGGTTAAAGTGTTAGACCTTTAGTTACTAAATCCCGAGTTCAACACAATCTCTATCAATGCCACTTTGAACAACCGAATAGCACTACTAGCCTGTACAGACTTGGAGTGTAATTTAAAGCCAAATACAAGAATCTGCATCTACACTAATGAGTTGGTAGTGAATATCATCAAATTGATTATTTTTTTGTTGTTGCCTATATCATTCCTCAATTAAGAACAATGAGCTCTTTTTTGTGTATAGAATTAATTGAAAAATATCACATCTTCAAGAAAACAACACAATGTCAACATCGAATTAAATTCTATTAAATCCAATGATCAGAAATACACGCATTAATGTACATTATTTTGAATGACATTTTTTTGAGGTATAAAAAGTGATGAGTTCAAATTACTCTATTTAAAAAGAAAAAAAATTGCAGCTTATCACGAATGATGAGTCTCCAAAGTGAAATTAAATTAATATTAGTACATTCATAATCCAAAACTGGCCTAAATACATAAAGACTGATAATCAATTTAAAACACTAGAACTTCATATGAAACATTTTACAAAACTATTAGTTTACCAGTGAAAGTAAAACGAATGGCTTAAGTACCAAAGTAACCGACAAGAATATTTATATAAAATAAATGGAATGCATCTAACAGTGGAATATAGGACGTGAGTTTCATACCATTTGGGACTAGTTAGATGGATGTATCTGCATCACAGAGTTGATGTTCTTGTACTATATATCTATATGCAATCTTTCTCTTATATATTACCACCTTTGACCTAACCACTGCTATGAATCCGGTGTTCATCTTGTTGTGCTGATGCGGTATGGCAACCTGGACCGATACACATATGTGCCTGGTCCTACGTTGTAGCTGACTGACTGACTCAAAGTTACAATATACTCAAATTGAAATGGATTGGATTATCCCGTTGTTGATAATTTGATTGAAATTTCGTCGATCTTGATTGGTATATGTCCATCATAAGGATTGCCTCGATATACACATTATAACACGTTTACATAGAACAGATGCACCAAGTACCTATGGTGGGTAATGCGTTGGCGTTTTAAGTGGAAGGTACTGGGCTCGAGCTTAGGAATGGATATCAACTCCGGGATGCAGATACATCCAATTGGCGAGTCCTAAATATGATGAAACACGCGTCCTGGATTCCACCGTTAATCACGTTCCATCTATTTCATCTCAACTGGTGTCATAATGGCTATATCGAGGCAACCCCCAAAGGATTAACATATGCCAACCGAGATTGAACAAAGTTCTGTCAAAACATCAACCACAACGCGATAATCGAAAAACTACTACAAATTAGACAATAAGATTCATCAAATCGACTTAAATTTACATCATTAATACCTGGTTATCAGTTGTAGTTGATTCCTGAGGTAAAAATTCTCCGCCTACCTCGCCTACTCCACCACCAACAGCATTACGATCAGAATTTCGGCTTGAGTCGAAAATTGCAGGAAGAGGCCACATCTGACCAACGCCACCACCTGTAGTAATAGTAGTATCGGAAGTTTTCGGATTATTATCATAGGACATCAAAGAGTTAATTGTTGGAATTCTATTAATTGTATCTAATTTACAGAAATGAAATAAATAAATCATTACCCATTTTACAGATAAATTAGAATACCTTCAATTTGACCACGTCCTTGTATTAAATCTACAGCATCATTTCTAGTTGTAGACCATGGAATATTTGAAGGCGTTGAAAATGTTGGATAAGAATTAACAGTTCCACCAGTGCCAATACCAGGTTTACCTAGAATGAGAATTAGATTTTTAATTTTTACATTGGATTAATATTGTCAATGTTATAAAAAATAATTCTATCATAATTAGATTAAAATGAAGAAATAATTAATTAACTGATATATATGCTAATTGAACGCTTAATACTACCTTTATAGCCGCTTTCTCTAATCCCAGACTACACCCACACTTCACCAATTCAAATAAGGAAACGTGAGAAAGAGCTTTACTCCAAGGTGAGAAACATTTTCTATGTCAAGCTGTTATGTAGCCGCTAGTCTGATTGACTCAGCATTTCGTGCATTGTGTTGAGGTAACCGGTGAGGTGGTTAGAGGCAGTCAGCAGAAAACCCTCGAATCCTCAAAGACTAGGCCTACCAATAAGGTTTTAATTGATTGAAGAATGATTGACCTACAAGCTAATCACCATCAATCGCCTACGACGTTTTTTCATATCTATCTTGTGTTCATATGCTGTATATAATGACGTTATTTTATTACACTAAAAAATCTATTCATCTGGTTAATTGTCTCATCTTTGACTTTCAATCAGTCGGAAACTTTAACCAATTGTACGATATCGTGAACGGCCACCACTTAGTTACATCATATTATTGTGATTCCTTGATCAATCCGAATTCTACTCATCGATTTAAACAGTCGGAAAACTCGTCTTCCCAATCACTGAAACCCCCCCTCCTATAACAGTTTCGTTCTGGCCCTACAACAGGCTAGTTGTGGTTTCAATAGCTCAGTGGTAATATATCAGACTGTGAAACGGAGTGACAAGCTAAAATGCCACAGAGTCCATTAGGCCGCCCAGAATCACAATTCCACCTTGATAACGAGTGGAAACCAGTACAAAACCTAGTCCCGAGGTTTCCTTCAATCACCTGACACTGGTTCATTCTATACATATTTTATTGTTGAAACAAGTAGATTGGAAGAAAATAACGTAGCACTCGATCTAAGCATACTAACAGGAAATAAAGACGATAGAAGACACAAAAAAGAAAATGGATATAAAAGCAAGATACAAATGTCATGGATATCCGACAATTTCTGCCAGATTCTATTCTACATTATGTCTATTTCTTGGAATTAATTGTTTATTTAGGAACAATTTCGATTCCGCATTTTCCCAGCAAATATATCCAAGATAAACAAACTGTTATCTATTCTTATTTCATAATACGACTGTCCGCTTGTTGGTTTACTAAACTTTAGATAAGCTGATTTATTACTTTCATCGCAAAAAAAAACAGTACATGCATGTATTATGCAAAAGGCACACGCCTAATTCAATTTACCTTTAGTATAGTTTATAAATTTACATTTCAATGTCGTATTGTCTCCAACATTCAGGGTTAGCTCAATTAGCTAATCAGCAACATAGGAGAGAAAAGTGACGTTAATTTATCAGGTCATATTAGAGGGATAAAAAATGACTAAATAATGTACATTATGAAGAGTAGATGTGTAGTATACAAAGGAGTACTGAAAACATGTATAATATCAACCACAAATGAAGTAGTATTATTTTTAGAAAATAGACACCACAAGAAACCCAGGTTAAGATGATGACAACAAATGAATAGTACAAAAACGAGTAGATTAATGAAATGGACAGAAAGACATCAAAATAAAAAAGGACATAAGTTCAAGTAAAAGGGGAAGATAGATGAAAAGAAGAAAGGCTTTTTAAGATCTAAGGAGAAAGGATCACGAAAGTCTTATCATTGAAATCGGTTTTTATCTGTACCATTTGAAGTTCTCAAGCATTCAATAGCTAGTGTTAATTTTAACTGGGAAGCTAGTGATCACTAACACTAGACAATTGTGTCAAATCTTGATTTGAACGTCTTTGTCAACTAAATATTAAGTTTGTAAGGGGTAACGTAGTGAATAAGCCAGTGTATGCATATGTATAATGCATATCCTAAATACTTCAGTCAATGGAGATTTAGTGATCGAATTTTTCTTCATCAAATACTCCATGCTTAACTTTACCTGTATTATACCCTGTATTATACATACAGTTAATTTAGTCACATTGTACTAACTTGGACCAACGTATATTTGTGCCAGGCTCTACAATGGTGATGACTGACTGATGCCCACTCGCAATAACAATTATTTCCATAGTTTGGTTAAGAACAGGAGTATCAACTGAAACTTTTTAGAGAAGCATGAACAAAGAACCTATTGCGTAACAGAAAATCTTAAATGTGAACGTGATAGGACCTTAATACAAAGATTATGCAATTGTTACTGAATCACATATATATAAATATATATTGACCAAACTGGAAATTAAGCAGTAGCAGAGAGGTACTGGGTGTAATTCACAACTTTTGTTAGTGTGAATTCTAAGAGTTGAATATATACACGCTAAATATGAGTAGCACCGCCACCATTTTAAACTAATAAAACACTGAAACTGAAGGTTACACCAACTTTTGCATTGCAAATTAACGACAGATACGAAAATAATAGAACAGGATGGAACAAAACAACTAAGAGATAGCTACTTACCGGGAGTTCTGTTCCATGGCGTGTTATTACTGTTATTATTATTACTGATACCAGTGGTAGTATTCGTGACTTGAGACATCAGGTGAAAATTGACTGAGCCCGACAGAAAGGCATCTGCAATAAACAAGAATGAATATAATTTAGAAACAGATTTCAGGCACAGACGGTCACAAATTAAGACTGGCCAACTTGACATACAATAGTTCAAACCAGTACAGGAAAATTACATTCAGAAGAAAAACGATGGTGATTATTATGTTTTCTAGACCTCACCAAGTACAGGTTTATGTACTCAAAATAAAGCCATACTGTTTATGAAAATGCTAGTAATACTAGACGGCTTCATTTTGTTTATCTGCTGTTCTAATATTGATATTTTATTTATTTATCATAACATATATTGGTACAAGGAAGCATAAAAAATATATGTGCCACACAATCACAATGGTGCTGTGAAGAGACAGAGAATGTAAATTGTGTGTAAGAAGAGCAACAATGAACAGAAATTAGTGTATGAGAGTGAAAATAATAATAATGATAACAGTAATAATAATTGGAGAAACAGTTCAGTTAGAAAAAATAACCAGAAGTTATGCTCACTTTTATTTATTACTTATTTAAACACATAAACATTGGTACAAAGAGGCACCAAATAGATATGCGCTACATAAATCATTCGATTTGTGTGAGTACTGGGATACTGCCCGGGTGCCCATACCGAAGCAGGGGTTTTCTTAGGGGCTACACCCGTAACCTTCGACCTAAAGATCTGATCCAAAAGGCAGTGGAGCATCGTAAAGAGATGCAGTCCCATGGTAGCCGGTGACCAACGATTAATTCATACGCCATTTATTCCCGCAGGATACTGGAGCCCATGTGCACCATTGGTTTGGAATCCGGTTAAAGCGCCGGACATTCGCTTTTCGTCTTCTCAATTTCGTAAACAACATCCGTGGCGCGAGAAGGCAGTGAGTAGGACTTCCCTGGCAGAGGCTGTATACGCGTGGCCGTGTGAGAGCATTTCGAGGAGGAAAGTGGACTCTCCCTACTCTCGGCCGTATCAGGGCATTTGAGGGCCACTTTTATGAAGAAAGCAAAAGAAAATTGTAACAGAATTACCACTGGCTCCTATTCTGAGCCATCTGGTAACGTCCTAAACAACTGAGGTGCACCACCTCTAGAACCCCAATCAGGTAGTCGTGAAGTACCAACAGAAGACATCCTGTACACCTTCGTTTCATACCACGACACCATGCCAAACATTGACCACATCTCCAAATCCGACCAGTTCCAGCATCCGCAAATAATGCACGACGTGGAATTCTCTGGGACGACATTCGTAGGACATGTCCAAGCTACTGAAGTCAGTGTTTCAAGAGAGTAATACCAATTGAATTATCATCGCTGTGGCCGAACACACGATACCGAACATCTGCATTACCAACATGTCGTTGCCACTGGATGTCAGCAATCCTTCGGAGATGATGCTCAAACACAGAGACCGTCTAACATCCTCAACTCGGAGAGGCCAGGTTTCACAAGCATAGAGCAAAACTGCTCTCACCGACGCGTTGTAGATTCGACTTTTTACAGCCAGACTGATATCACGAATGCGCCAATGATGGCTCAGATTGGCATAAGCCACTCTGGCTTTCACTATACGTGCATTGATCTCATCACTCACACCCTCGCCAGCACTTACGGAGCTAACCAGATGCACGAACTTCACGATTACTTTTATATGATCACTACCCAGGCTGAGTGCAGGATCAAGGTCCTGCCAGTTTTGTAAAAGTACACTGTACTTCGAAGGTGCAAAATACACATAAAAAAGAAACCTCATAGGATACATCTTTAGGTACACCAGCATGAGAAAACAACAAAAAGAATCTAATGTTGACAGAAATACAGTTACATAAAGTATAAAACATGGGAAAAGTAAATACACAAGTTGAAGAATAACAAACAAAAACAGATACCATGTGAATTGATACACATAAACGATATTTTCCTTTGACTTTTGTCAACCAAAAATACATTTATGATAAATGGATCACGTACAATATATACACACTATAAATAATCTTGAATTTATCAACGAAATTAAAACGATTTACATAATAAAGGGTTATGTAAGCAAAAAAAAATGAATATATGAAGAAACATAAATAAACTGTGATCCATTGACTGAAAAACAATTTTCATGAACCACGTGTTCAATAATAGTTTTTTGACGAAAATAAAAAGATATTGGAAATCTTAACTAGAAGAATGAATCTAACGATATAAAACACTTTTTTAATATGAAACATAGGAAGTGTGTGATTAGTTGGAAGTACAGAATTGTCTAATTACCCGTTTATATAACCAAACATCACTAACCGGTTTAGTCTAAATTAAGGTCTTAGATGTTAAATAGCGAGTGTGGTTCAGTGTTTAAGAAGGCTTTTTAGGTTGCAAGTTTAGGTGGCAAGGTCTCAAAGTATCAGAAGTGATAGCAGCATCGGTAGCAGCAAGAAAGATAAGTTACAGAAAAAGTTTAATGGTATTTCGGGATTCATGATCTTGAGTGCTGTTAGAAGTATGAGGGCGGTAATCACTTCCCGTTTGCCCACACTGAAGAAGGGTTCTTCTAGAGGAGCCTGAAGAGGAAATTGGGCTAAAGGTGGTTTTAGTGACCTGAGAGCGTGACCACAGTGTCCAAGGGACAACTAATGAGGCCGGTCACACACGAACTTGTGGTGAGTAATTTTTGTGTTAGCCCCGCACTTGTTGAGATCTTACCTCCAGAGACGGAAATCAGTTGGATAAGGCGAGGTGTGCTTTTCTAGGGCCGATCTTTTTTAATCCCAAACCTCCTTGTGGGAAGGCAACATTGTTATTATGTTGGTTGTCTGGAGGAAAGACATTACTGCTGTCAGAACTCTGTAGAGTACGACTTCGCCCTCGGAACTTGGATTCGCTGCTTCTAGTCTTACCGCTCTTCAACCAATCTGTCTGATACGGTAGGACCTTGAGGAACGATCGTTTCAGTCAGTATATTCCGACAGTTTCATTATGACGAACAATCTCGACCACCACGTCAAAGTAGAAGCAACGGTGGTGTCATAATGGCTATATCGCATCAATACGCACGGGATGCACATATAACAACCGAGACGGATCAAATCTGTCAAAATATCAACCACATTCAATTCTGTTTGTTCACCAGGGAAATATATTTCGGTTCACGTTCTTATTAGTCAGTCAGTCAGCTACAACGTAGGACCAGGCACATTTATGCATCAGTCCAAGTTGCCATACCTCATTAACACAACAAGATGAACACCGGATTCATAAAAGTAGTTAATTCAGAGGTGGTAATATATATAAGATGGCAATAAGGATATAGTACAGGAAGAAAGAATTAGTTCGTAGAAAGAAAGATATGAAGCGAGTTTAATCTCTTAGTTTAAGGGAAGACAGGGAGTGTATACACCTACGCCATTGTGATCGATTCTGAGCCATGTCACCAAGAGTTTCCAACCATTGGTTACGACAGTCAAGCGGACCCAAACCAAGTAGTCTGCATCTACCGACATGGCTCAGACTAGAAGTTAGTGACTTCAAGCACTGATCCCACGTTTTGGTTTGGCCGCCCCTAACTTTCTTCAAACCATCCCGAACGCCGGTTAGCATTGCACGTCGTGGTAATCAGTGTTCGGGCATACGTAACACGTGACCCAACCATCTCAGTCGATAAAGATTCACAACGTTCTTATTAGGACTAGTTCAAGGCTGGAATGTTATTCATAACACTTCCGATATGCGTCATCATATTTGCTTTCGTAACAGTTTTTTATGTTAGAATCGTTATTATCAACAAAGTCCCGTCCGCTTAGTTACTCGGCAACTAGAATCGATGCATTATAGTACCGTTTCCACGTAGCTTTGATGATTTATTTATTCATTTATTTCAACACCTAGATAATGGTACAAAGAGGCACCAAATAGATATGCGCCACACAAATATCATTCGATATGTATGAGGGCTGTGATACTGCTCAGGGTGCCCAAACCGGAGGAGGTGGTTTTCGTAGGAGGCTACACCCCGAGCCTTCGACCTAAAGATCTGATCCAAAAGGCAGTGGAGCATCGTAAAGAGATGCAGTCCCATGGTAGCCGGTGACCAACGATTAATTCATACGCCATTTATTCCCGCAGGATACTGGAGCCCATGTGCACCATTGGTTTGGAATCCGGTTAAAGCGCCGGACATTCGCTTTTCGTCTTCTCAATTTCGTAAACAACATCCGTGGCGCGAGAAGGCAGTGAGTAGGACTTCCCTGGCAGAGGCTGTATACGCGTGGCCGTGTGAGAGCATTTCGAGGAGGAAAGTGGACTCTCCCTACTCTCGGCCGTATCAGGGCATTTGGGGGCTTTGATGAGCTCATTTATTGACATCAAGTTAATTACTTGCCACTCCTAAGACCAATAAGTGTTTCTTTATGGTAGAAATCACTATTAACCAACCTTATACAAACACTTAATTGTTCGTATAATCAGCATCGAGAAGGGTTTTGAGTATGAGAAAAAAATTACCTGGTGATTAATTAAACTTTTCCCTTAATATTTCTAAACTATCCGAAATAAACAAGTCTGTCAGTGTCTGAAAGACGAATTAATACACCTCAAACATGGCAAATGACTTTGACTTGCTACACACAGTAGATAATTTTGTACCTCTAACAGACTTTCAGTCAAATCATGTACGGCAACTAACCATGAATAATCACACGGAAACTAGAGTCAAAACCTCAGGACGCAACTTTGTGTTTATATCAGTCAGTCAGTCAGTAACAACGTAGAACTTCGTACGTACGTACATCAGTTCGAGTTGCCACACCACATTAGCACAGAGATGCAGTGGTCGATTCAAATCCCGTAGTGGTAGAGGTAATAAGAGTATAAGCAGTAATCGGGAAGATTAGGGTTTGGAGATGTTATTTAAAGAGTATAATACAGTGAAATAAATTTGGGAAGAGAAAAAAAAGAGACAAGGAGGAATAAGGAGATCAAAATTTGGGAGAACACAAAGAG